GGAAATGAGCAGAGAGGACAAGAAAGAAAAAAGAAAGGGCACAAACAGCAAAAAAAACAGAATGAAAGGAAAGGAAAAAAGCAGAAAGAAAGAAAAGAAATAAGCAAGAAAAAAAAGACAGAGAGAGAAAAAAAGACAAAGGAAAAGCAGGAAAAGGAAGAGAATAAAAAAAGAAAAAAAACACAGAAAGAAAAGAGAAGAAGAGAGATAGCAAAGCAAAGAAGAAAGGAAGAGAGAGAGGTACAAGGAGAAAGGAAAAAAGAAAAAAGAGGAGAACACCAAAAAGGTAAGGAAAAAAGAAGGCAAAAAACAGAAAAAAAGGAAGCAAAGAGAGAAGGACAAAGCCAAAACAAAAGAAAAACAGAAAAGAAAAAGGAAAAAAGAAAAAAACAGACAAGAAAAAGACAGAAAAGAAAGAAAGAAGAGACAACCAAGAGAGACAAACAGACAAGAACAGACAACCAACCAAAACAAAAAGAGAAAAAAGAAAAAGAAAAAAAAAAAGAGAAAGGAAGGAAGAAGAGAAGAAAAAAAGGAAAGAAAAGAGGAAGGGAGAGACAGCCCAGAGAAGAAGAAAGAGAGAATAAGAACAAAACAAAGAAAAGAAGAAAAAAGACAAAAAAAGAAAGCAGAAAGAACAAAGACAAAAAAAAGAAAAGGAAGGAGAGAGAAAGAAGGCAAGAAAAAAGACAAAAAAAGAACAAACGAAAAAAAAAAAAAGAAAAGAAAAGAGTCCCTAAGTCCAAAAAAGGAAGCAAAGAGAGGCAAAAAAAGAAAAGAGAAGAATGGAAAAAGCTTTACAAAAACAAAAAGTCCCAGGCAAAGAAAAACAAAAAAAAAAAAGAATAGACAGGAAAAAAAAAACACAAACTGAAGAACAACGAAAAGGAAAGAAACAAAAAGAAGAGAAGAAAGAAAAACAGAAAAAAGAAATAAACAGAACAACAGACATAAAAAGAAAAAACACAGAGACAAAAAAAAAAAAGGATAAGAAAGAAACAAAGATGGAGAAGAAAAGAACAAAAAAAGAAAGAAAGAGAGAAAACCAAAAAAAGAGAAGACAAAAAACAAAGAAACAAAAAACACAAAAAGAGACAGAGCAAGAGGAGAAGGAAAGACAAAAAGAACAGGAGAACACAGGCAAAGAAGGAGAAAGTAAAAAAGAACAGAAAAACAAGAAAAGCAGAGGAAAAAACAGAAAAACAAGGGACAACAAGAGAAAGAAGAGAAAGAGAGGAGAGAAGGACAAAGAAAGGAAGAAAAGAGAAAACAAAGAGAAAACAAATCCAAGACAGAGGAAAAACCATACAAAGAAGAAAAGGAACAGAGGAAAATAAAAAAAACACAAAAAAAGAACAAAAGAGACAAAGAGAAAGAAACAGAAAAGAAGATAAGAGAAAAAGCAAGAAAGAGCAGAAAAAAGAGAACAGAAAGAAGAACAGGAAGACCAGAGGAAAAAAAAACAGGAGAAGGAACAAAAAGCGAAGCAAAAAGACGAGAAAAAGAAAACAAACAAACAAATGAACAGAGAAAGGGACAGGAGGAAGAAGAAAGAAAAAAACAGACAAAACAATAAAGAAAAGGAAAAAGAAAGGAAAGGAAACAGGAAAACAAAAAAAAGAAGACAGAAGAACAAGAAGACAAAAGAGAAAGAAAAAGAAAGAAAAAGAGAGAGAACAAGAAGAAGGTTTTTGGGGGGGCTTTTTATCCACAGGGTCTAACAGGTCTAAACTTTTTTGTCTTTACAACCCCCCATGCCTGACACCTTATCAATGATGTAGCACGGAAGACGCGAACGTGGGTCCAAACCCGTGGCCTCTATGTTCTTCTGGTTAATTCTTGACTAATTACTTCTCCTCCTCCTTTGGTGATTCTGAGCCGGTGTTATTATTTAAACTGGAGATTTTCACCACTTTATGCAGAAATTACCCAGACTTCATCCTAACGCATGGTCTCAGCTCTCCACTCCGCTTTGGTCTCCCCTCTGGTCCTGAATTCCATCACCGGTTGTGACCAGCACAAGACAGTCTGTGGGTCCAATTCCCCACAGTCTTGGCCCCCTTCCAGCTTGATTTTTTAAGGCTTTTTTATTTTAACTTCTCGCGCGCCAGACGCTTTTTGGGGGGGTTTCTATCACACATGATCCCGGTTTAACTTTTTTGTGTCTCTTCAACCCCCATGCATGCAATTCCCACATGGTGCTAGCACCAGGACCAGACGAGTCTGTGGGTCCATCCCCTGTCTCTAAGCCTTTGCTTGATTTTTATTACTAATGTTTATTTTAACCAAACCATTAGCGTCCGACGCTTTTTGGGGGGCTTTAATCCCCCAGGGTCCTAACCGTCTAACTTTTTTGTCCCTTTACAACCCCATGCAGCACTTCCACAACTGTTGTAGCACCGGACCAGACGAGTTCCGGAGGGTTCCCCATCACCCCCGTGCCTTCTACGCCTTTGGTTCTGATTTAATGATACTTAATTCTCTCCCTCCTTTGGGCTGTTTCTGTAGCCGGGTTAACAGGCGGATTTTCCACCCTCTACTGCGCACTTACAGATTCCTCTCTCGTGGTCTCGTACACCGTCTGGTCTCCTTCTGGTCCTGACCATTCACACCGGTGTGAAGCCCGCACAACGACAAGTCTTGTGGGTCCAATCCCCCAGTCCTCCCTGGCCCCCCTTCTGCTTGATTTTTACAGGGGATTTTTTTTAACATCTAGAGTCCATGACGCTTTTTGGGGGGCTTTTTATCACAGGGTCACCGGTCTAACTTTTTTGTCTATAAACCCCATGCATGACAATTTCACAACTGTGGTAGCCTGGAGCTCCCAGGCCCCACCCCACTACCCCTTAAACCCCCTGGCGGTACCCCGCCCCCCCCCCCCACATACCCTTACCCCCCCATGGAGGCGTCCGGCCCCCCACACCTAACCATACCCCCCTGGAGCTCCAGGCCCGCCCCAGGTGCAATAGCCCCCAGGGAGGTCAGGCATAGGGTACCCTCCTAGGTTAGGGTGTGGGACTGCCTGCTATCTCTGGGGGTTAAGGTTAGCGTGGGGGAAGCCCTGGTTCCTCCCGGGGGGCCTCTAGTGCAGGTTGAGTGGGGGCCGGGCCTGGGCTGGATTCCATGGGGGTTCAGGTTAGGTGTGGGGCGGGCCCTGGACCTTCACTTGGGGGTATCCGGGTTACGGTGTGGGGCGGGCCTGGCCACCTCATGTGGGGATCCGGTTCGGTGTGGGGCGGGCCTGGACCTTCCTTGGGGGTTAGAGGTTAGGTGTGGGGGCGGTCCGCTGGCCCTCCAGGGTGTAGGGCTGCCGTGCAGGCGTGGGGGCGGCCCTGGCACGTCCACGGGGGGTTCCGATGTTCGCTGGTGGGGCGGCCTGGCATCTCCGGGGGGGCTAAGGTGCGCGTGTCATGGGGCGGGCCCTGGCCCCTCCCCATGGGGGTTGGTAAGGATCGGTGTGGGGCGCGGCCAGGACCTCCATGGGGGTTTACAGGTTCGGTGGTGGGGAGGGCTGGGACCTCCATGGGGGTTCCGGTTTAGGGTGTGGGGTAGGGCCAGGGTCCCCTCCCATGGGGGGTCACGGGTTTCGGTGTGGGGAGCGCGACCTGGCCCTCCCCTGGGGGATCCGGATTGCAGGCAGTGGGGGCGGGCGCCATGCGGCTCATCCATGGGGGTTAAGGTTAGGCTGTGGGGCCGCCCCTGGCCCTCCCCCGGGGGGGTCAGTGTGCAGGTGTTGGGGGGCGGCCTGGTTCTCCCTGGGGGTTTAAGGTTAGGTGTGGGGAAGGCCTGGGCCCTCCAGGGGGGCTATGTGCAGGCGTGGGGATGGCCTGGATCTCCTTGGGGGTCATGTTAGGTGTAGGGAGGGCCTGGACCTCCATGGGGGTTACGGTTAGGTGTCGGGAGGGCCCTGGCCCTCCATGGGGGGGTTAAGGTTAGGTGTGGGGGCGGCCAGGCCCTCCAACGGGGGGCTAATGTGCCGGTGATGGGGGCGGCCTGGCTATCTCCATGGGGGTTAAGGTTACGAGCTGCGGGGCCAGGCCGCTGGCCCCCTCCACCAGGGGGGGCTAAGTGCCTAGGTTGTGGGCGCGGCCAGGACTCTCCGATGGGAGATCGAGGTTCGGAGTGGGGGGGACCGGCTGGAACCCTCCATGGGGGTACCGGTTAGGAGAGGGGCGGGCCTGGTCCTGCCCTGGTATGTGGGGGGATAAGGTTCGGTGTGGGGCGGGCCAGGGCCCTCCACTTGGGGGGTACACGGTTAGGGTTGGGGGGCCGGCCCGGCCCTCCCAGTGGGGGCTTAAGGTGCCGTGTGGGGAGGGCGGTGGGGATCTCCCTGGGGGATCCGGTTAGGTGTGGGGATCGGCCTGGACCACCCAGGGGGGCTAAAGGGTGCAGGTGTAGGGGGCCGGCCTGGATCTCCATGGGGGTTTCACGGTTAGGTGTGGGGCGGGCCTGGACTCACCATATGGGGTATCCGGTTCGGTGTGGGGAGGGCTGGGCCCTCCCGGGGGTAGTTTTCAGGTCTCAGGTGATGGGGCGGCTCGGGCCCCTCCCGTGCGGGGTTCACGGGTAGGCTGTGGGGCGGGCTGGACTCCAATCTATGGGGGGTTACGGTTCGGTGAGGGGAGGGCCTGAACCCTCCCTAGGGGGATCCGGTTATCTGATTGGGGGCGGGCTCTGGCCCCTCCTGGGGGGGTTCAGGTTCGGCTGATGGGGCGGGCCAGGACCTGTCCCCGGGGGTTTACAGGTTCGGAGTGGGGAAGGCCTGGCCCTCCCAGGGGGGCTATGGGCAGGAGTGGGGGCGGCCTGGATCACCCCATGGGGGATATCAAATACGGGTTCGGTGTGGGGCGGGCCCTGGACCACCCTGGGGCGGTCAGGTTCGTGTCGGGGCGGTGCCCTGGACCTCCGCATGGGGGTACGGACAGGTGTAGGGGGCGGTGGCTCCGGGGGGCTATGGTGCGGCGAGGGGGCCTGGACCTGGAGCTCCTATGGGGGTTCACGGTTAGGCGTGTGGGGGCGGCCTGGCTCTCCCGGGGGGTATGACGGCACGGGCGTGGGGGGGCCTGGCTCTCCTAAGGGGGGTAACCTAGTTCGGTGTAGTGGGGCCGGCCTGGCTACTCCAGGGGGGCTCAGGTGCGAGGGTGGGGGCCGGCCCTGGCTTCTACATGGGGGATCCGTAACCGCACACCACCCCCCCCCCCACCCCCCCCCCCCCCCCCCCCCCCCCCCCCCGTTCGGAGTGGGGCGGCCCTGGGACCCGCCATGGCGGTTACAGGTTCGGGCTGGTGGGCGGGCTGTGTACCCCCATCGGGGGTTTGTCCGGTTTAGGTGTTGGGTCGGGCGCTGGACTCCTATGGGGGTTCACGGTTTCGGTGAGGGGGAGGCCTGGCCCTCCAGGGGGGCTCATGGTGCCGGCGAGGGGGCCGGCGTCCAGGATCTTACCGATGGGGTTAAGCCGATTAGGCGTGGTTGGGGAAGGCTGAGACCTCCATGGGGGCTCCGACGCGGTGTGGGGCGGCCTTGGACTCTCCATTTGGGGGTTACGGTAAGGTGTGGGGAGGGCCGGCTCTGGACCTCATGGGGGTATCACGGTTCGGAGAGGGGAGGGCCTGGGACCTCCAAGGGGGTTCAGGATCGGGGATGGGGGAGGGCCTGGCCCCTCCATGGGGGTTAAGGTTAGGGGTAGGGAGGCCTAGGACTACCCGGGGGGGATAAGGTGCAGGTGTGGGGAGCGGCCGGGCAACCCTCCCTGGGTGCGGTCGTAGGTTCGATGTGGGGACGGCCAGGACCCTCCCCAGGGGGGTCTCAGTAGCCGGTGAGGGGAGCGGCTGGATCCTCCATGGGGGTTCACGGTTAGGTGTGGGAGCGGCGCAGGCCTCCTCGGTGGGCTACGGGTGCAGGTGCAGCGGGGCCCGGCCAGGACCTCCACTGGGGGTATCAGGATCGGAGGTGGGGGGACGGGCAGGCCCTCCCATGGGGGTCACGGATACGGTGATGGGGCGGGCAGGACCCTCCAGGGGCGATAACAGGTTAGGTGTGAGGGCCGGCCTGGCCCTCCGGTGGGGCTATGTGCCGGCGTGGGGGGCGGCCTGGCACTCTAAGGTGGTTTCCGGTTTACGGTGTGGGGGCGGCTGGATACTCCGATGGGGGTTCCGGTTCGGTGGTGTGGGGAGGGCTGGCTTCCATGGGGGTTCCGGTTCGGGTGTGGGGGCCGGCCTGATCTCCATGGGGGTTAAGGAGTAGGTGTCGGGGGCCTGGGCTGGATCTCCAGGGGTATCCGGTTCGTGTGGGGCTGGCCTGGATCTCCCTGGGGGTTGTCACAGGTTCGTGTGGGGAGGTCCTGGACTCCCTGGGGGGTTTAAGGTTAGGTCTGGTGGCGGCCTGGGACCTTCCCTGGGGGATTGCAGGTTAGGTGTGGGGCGGCTGGACTCTCCTATGGGGGTTCAGGTTAGGTGTGGGGGGGCCCTGGCACCCCCTCCAGGGGGGTATGTGCAGGCGTGGGGCGGGCGGGCTCTCCCAGGGGGTAAAGCTACGTGTGGGGAAGGCCTGGTTCCTCCTCGGGGGGCAGATTTGGGATTGGGGGCGGCCTGGCTCTCCATGGGGAGTTAAGGGTTAGGTGTGGGGCGGACCTGGCCCTCCTGGAGTTCATAGGTTCGGTGTGGGGAGGGCCAGGCCCCTCCGATGGGTGAGCCGGTTAGGTGTGTGGTAGGGTGGCCCCTCCCAGGGGGGTTCAGTTCGTGGGGGGACAGGGACTGGACCTCCCGGGGGGGCTTAAGTGGAGGTGTGGGGGCGGCCTGGGATCTCCCTGGGGGTTCCGGTTCAGCAGTGGGCCGGCTGGATCTCCCCGGGGGGGCTCTGTGCAGGTGTCGGGGCCTGGATCACCCGGGGGGTAAGGTTAGGTGTGGGGGCGGCCGGGGACCTCCATGGGGTTCAGGTTAGGTGTACGGGAGGGCCTGGCCTCCTGGGGGTTACTGGGTCTACAGCCTGGGGGGTTAAGGTTAGGTGTGGGTAGGGCCTGGGACCTCCTGGGGGTTCCGGTCGGTGTCTGGACTCACTGTGCCGCTGGGGGCCCGGGCTATGTGCAGCCCACAGTCCTGGGTCCATACAGCCTCCGTTGAATGGGTCTACAGCCTCCAGACCCTGGGTCACCCGCCTCGTTTTTAGGCCTCAGTCCTGGGTCTACCGCCTCAGTCCTGGGGTCTACAGCCTCGTCCTGGGTCTACAGCCACAGATCTGGGTCTACACAGTCCCCCCCCCCTTTCCCCCCCCCTGGGTCTCAGACTGGAGTCTAGCGCCTCCAGTCCTGGGTCTACAGCCTCAGTCTGGGTTACAGCCTCAGTCCTGGGTCTACAGCCTCAGTCTGGGTCTACAGCTCAGTCCTGGGTCTACAGCCTCAGTCTGGGTCTACAGCCTCAGTCCTGGGTCTACAGCCTCAGTCCTGGGTCTACAGCCTCAGTCCTGGGTCTACAGCCTCAGTCCTGGGTCTACAGCCTCAGTCTGGGTCTACAGCCTCAGTCCTGGGTCTACAGCTCAGTCCTGGGTCTACAGCCTCAGTCCTGGGTCTACAGCCTCAGTCTGGGTCTACAGCCTCAGTCCTGGGTCTACAGCCTCAGTCCTGGGTCTACAGCCTCAGTCCTGGGTCTACAGCCTCAGTCCTGGGTCTACAGCCTCAGTCCTGGGTCTACAGCCTCAGTCCTGGGTCTACAGCCTCAGTCCTGGGTCTACAGCCTCAGTCCTGGGTCTACAGCCTCAGTCCTGGGTCTACAGCCTCAGTCCTGGGTCTACAGCCTCAGTCCTGGGTCTACAGCCTCAGTCCTGGGTCTACAGCCTCAGTCCTGGGTCTACAGCCTCAGTCTGGGTCTACAGCCTCAGTCCTGGGTCTACAGCCTCAGTCCTGGGTCTACAGCCTCAGTCCTGGGTCTACAGCCTCAGTCCTGGGTCTACAGCCTCAGTCCTGGGTCTACAGCCTCAGTCCTGGGTCTACAGCCTCAGTCTGGGTCTACAGCCTCAGTCCTGGGTCTACAGCCTCAGTCCTGGGTCTACAGCCTCAGTCCTGGGTCTACAGCCTCAGTCCTGGGTCTACAGCCTCAGTCCTGGGTCTACAGCCTCAGTCCTGGGTCTACAGCCTCAGTCCTGGGTCTACAGCCTCAGTCCTGGGTCTACAGCTCAGTCCTGGGTCTACAGCCTCAGTCCTGGGTCTACAGCCTCAGTCCTGGGTCTACAGCCTCAGTCTGGGTCTACAGCCTCAGTCCTGGGTCTACAGCCTCAGTCCTGGGTCTACAGCCTCAGTCCTGGGTCTACAGCCTCAGTCCTGGGTCTACAGCCTCAGTCCTGGGTCTACAGCCTCAGTCCTGGGTCTACAGCCTCAGTCCTGGGTCTACAGCCTCAGTCCTGGGTCTACAGCCTCAGTCCTGGGTCTACAGCCTCAGTCCTGGGTCTACAGCCTCAGTCCTGGGTCTACAGCCTCAGTCCTGGGTCTACAGCCTCAGTCCTGGGTCTACAGCCTCAGTCCTGGGTCTACAGCCTCAGTCCTGGGTCTACAGCCTCAGTCCTGGGTCTACAGCCTCAGTCCTGGGTCTACAGCCTCAGTCCTGGGTCTACAGCCTCAGTCCTGGGTCTACAGCCTCAGTCCTGGGTCTACAGCCTCAGTCCTGGGTCTACAGCCTCAGTCCTGGGTCTACAGCCTCAGTCCTGGGTCTACAGCCTCAGTCCTGGGTCTACAGCCTCAGTCCTGGGTCTACAGCCTCAGTCCTGGGTCTACAGCCTCAGTCCTGGGTCTACAGCCTCAGTCCTGGGTCTACAGCCTCAGTCCTGGGTCTACAGCCTCAGTCCTGGGTCTACAGCCTCAGTCCTGGGTCTACAGCCTCAGTCCTGGGTCTACAGCCTCAGTCCTGGGTCTACAGCCTCAGTCCTGGGTCTACAGCCTCAGTCCTGGGTCTACAGCCTCAGTCCTGGGTCTACAGCCTCAGTCCTGGGTCTACAGCCTCAGTCCTGGGTCTACAGCCTCAGTCCTGGGTCTACAGCCTCAGTCCTGGGTCTACAGCCTCAGTCCTGGGTCTACAGCCTCAGTCCTGGGTCTACAGCCTCAGTCCTGGGTCTACAGCCTCAGTCCTGGGTCTACAGCCTCAGTCCTGGGTCTACAGCCTCAGTCCTGGGTCTACAGCCTCAGTCCTGGGTCTACAGCCTCAGTCCTGGGTCTACAGCCTCAGTCCTGGGTCTACAGCCTCAGTCCTGGGTCTACAGCCTCAGTCCTGGGTCTACAGCCTCAGTCCTGGGTCTACAGCCTCAGTCCTGGGTCTACAGCCTCAGTCCTGGGTTTACAGCCTCAGTCCTGGGTCTACAGTCTCAGTCCTGGGTCTACAGCCTCAGTCCTGGGTCTACAGCCTCAGTCCTGGGTCTACAGCCTCAGTCCTGGGTCTACAGCCTCAGTCCTGGGTCTACAGCCTCAGTCCTGGGTCTACAGCCTCAGTCCTGGGTCTAGCCTCAGTCCTGGGTCTACAGCCTCAGTCCTGGGTCTACAGCCTCAGTCCTGGGTCTACAGCCTCAGTCCTGGGTTTACAGCCTCAGTCCTGGGTCTACAGCCTCAGTCCTGGGTCTACAGTCTCAGTCCTGGGTCTACAGCCTCAGTCCTGGGTCTACAGTCTCAGTCCTGGGTCTACAGCCTCAGTCCTGGGTCTACAGTCTCAGTCCTGGGTCTACAGCCTCAGTCCTGGGTCTACAGCCTCAGTCCTGGGTCTACAGCCTCAGTCCTAGGTCTTGCCTCAGTCCTGGGTCTACAGCCTCAGTCCTGGGTCTACAGCCTCAGTCCTGGGTCTAGCCTCAGTCCTGGGTCTACAGCCTCAGTCCTGGGTCTACAGCCTCAGTCCTGGGTTTACAGCCTCAGTCCTGGGTTTACAGCCTCAGTCCTGGGTCTACAGCCTCAGTCCTGGGTCTACAGTCTCAGTCCTGGGTCTACAGCCTCAGTCCTGGGTCTACAGCCTCAGTCCTGGGTCTACAGCCTCAGTCCTGGGTCTACCAGCCTCAGTCCTGGGTCTACAGCCTCAGTCCTGGGTCTACAGCCTCAGTCCTGGGTCTACAGCCTCAGTCCTGGGTCTACAGCCTCAGTCCTGGGTCTACAGCCTCAGTCCTGGGTCTACAGCCTCAGTCCTGGGTCTACAGCCTCAGTCCTGGGTCTACAGCCTCAGTCCTGGGTCTACAGCCTCAGTCCTGGGTCTACAGCCTCAGTCCTGGGTCTACAGCCTCAGTCCTGGGTCTACAGCCTCAGTCCTGGGTCTACAGCCTCAGTCCTGGGTCTACAGCCTCAGTCCTGGGTCTACAGCCTCAGTCCTGGGTCTACAGCCTCAGTCCTGGGTTTACAGCCTCAGTCCTGGGGTCTACAGCCTCAGTCCTAGGTCTACAGCCTCAGTCCTGGGTCTTGCCTCAGTCCTGGGTCTACAGCCTCAGTCCTGGGTCTACAGCCTCAGTCCTGGGTCTACAGCCTCAGTCCTGGGTCTACAGCCTCAGTCCTGGGTCTACAGCCTCAGTCCTGGGTCTACAGCCTCAGTCCTGCAGGAGAGAGTCCCACGCCACAAACAGGACGTCCTCAGTGATGGTCAGCAGAGTGAGTGTTGGTCACTTACCGATGAGGATGGTCTGAGGCGGGCTCCTGACCCCCACCCCTGCGCTGGTGCTGGCCGCCACCTCCACCCGGTACACCACCCCCATCTGCAGCCCCCCCACCACCACCGAGCGGATGGCAGCGTCCACCGTCTTGTTCACGTGGAAGCGCGTCTCGTTGCCCAGGCACCAGATCTGCAGAAGAGTCACACGGAGGGGTCAGAGGTCAGAGGTCAGGGTCAGAGGTTTTGTTTCAATTACACGTTAGTATCTGACACAGTCACCTAGACACGTACCTACAACAAACCGGTATCCAGTGAAATTCCTTGGTAACCGTGGCTTCCAGCAGCACTCTGGCCAATGATTGTCAGTTAGAACACTTTAGTACCAGCTCGGCCTGGATAGAACCAGGACCAAGAGGGACTAAAGAACGACCTGGTACTGGTTACACAGGACCACAGGAACCAGTCCCAATCAGGGGAGAGTAGAGTCGAGTCGAGTAGGGTAGGGTAGAGTAGAGTAGAGTAGAGTAGAGTAGAGTAGAGTAGAGTAGAGTAGAGTAGAGTAGAGTAGAGTAGAGTAGAGTAGAGTAGAGTAGAGTAGAGTAGAGTCGAGTCGAGTAGGGTAGAGTAGAGGACTTATTAGGACTAATAGAAATATTCATAATAGCATGGGTACAATCAGAGGTACCAAATGTATCTGCCATGGTCTGTGTTGGCTGCTGGTGTGAGGCCCACCTTGTACTCCTGGATGATGCCGTTCTGATGGTCCGGAGGAGGGGGGTCCCAGGAGATGCTGATGGAGGTGCTGTTCTGGCTGCCCACGGTCAGGACGGTGACCTGCTGAGGCGGGGCACTGGGGGCTGAGGACCAGAGGAGACAGACCAGTCACAATCTAATGTCCACTACAGTCCACTACAGTCCACTACAGTCCACTACAGTCTACTACAGCCTACTACAGTCCGCTACAGTCCACTACAGTCTACTACAGCCCACTACAGTCTACTACAGTCCACTACAGTCCACTACAGTCCACTACAGTCCACTACAGTCCACTACAGTCTACTACAGTCCACTACAGTCCACTACAGTCCACTACAGTCCGCTACAGTCCACTACAGTCCACTACAGTCTACTACAGTCCACTAGAGTCCACTACAGTCCACTACAGTCTACTACAGCCCACTACAGTCTACTACAGTCCACTACAGTCCACTACAGTCCACTACAGTCCACTACAGTCTACTACAGTCCACTACAGTCTACTACAGCCCACTACAGTCCACTACAGTCCACTACAGCCCACTACAGTCCACTACAGTCCACTACAGTCCACTACAGTCCACTACAGTCTACTACAGCCCACTACAGTCCACTACAGTCCACTACAGCCCACTACAGTCCACTACAGTCCACTACAGTCCACTACAGTCTACTACAGCCCACTACAGTCCACTACAGTCCACTACAGTCCACTACAGCCCACTACAGTCCACTACAGTCCACTACAGTCCACTACAGTCCACTACAGTCTACTACAGCCCACTACAGTCCACTACAGTCCACTACAGTCCACTACAGTCTACTACAGTCCACTACAGTCCACTACAGTCTACTACAGCCCACTACAGTCCACTACAGTCCACTACAGCCCACTACAGTCCACTACAGTCCACTACAGTCCACTACAGTCTACTACAGCCCACTACAGTCCACTACAGTCCACTACAGTCTACTACAGTCTACTACAGTCCACTACAGTCTACTACAGCCTACTACAGTCCACTACAGTCCACTACAGTCCACTACAGTCCACTACAGTCTACTACAGCCCACTACAGTCCACTACAGTCCACTACAGTCCACTACAGTCCACTACAGTCTACTACAGCCCACTACAGTCCACTACAGTCCACTACAGTCTACTACAGTCTACTACAGTCCACTACAGTCCACTACAGTCCACTACAGTCCACTACAGTCTACTACAGCCCACTACAGTCCACTACAGTCCACTACAGTCTACTACAGCCCACTACAGTCCACTACAGCCCACTACAGTCCACTACAGTCCACTACAGTCCACTACAGTCCACTACAGTCCACTACAGTCTACTACAGCCCACTACAGTCCACTACAGTCCACTACAGCCCACTACAGTCCACTACAGTCCACTACAGTCCACTACAGTCCACTACAGTCTACTACAGCCCACTACAGTCCACTACAGTCCACTACAGTCCACTACAGTCCACTACAGTCTACTACAGCCCACTACAGTCCACTACAGTCCACTACAGTCCACTACAGTCTACTACAGCCCACTACAGTCCACTACAGTCCACTACAGTCCACTACAGTCCACTACAGTCTACTACAGTCCACTACAGTCTACTACAGTCCACTACAGTCCACTACAGTCCACTACAGTCTACTACAGCCCACTACAGTCCACTACAGTCCACTACAGTCTACTACAGTCCACTACAGTCCACTACAGTCCACTACAGTCCACTACAGTCCACTACAGTCTACTACAGCCCACTACAGTCCACTACAGTCTACTACAGTCCACTACAGTCCACTACAGTCCACTACAGTCCACTACAGTCCACTACAGTCTACTACAGTCTACTACAGTCCACTACAGTCCACTACAGCCTACTACAGTCCGCTACAGTCCACTACAGTCCACTACAGTCTACTACAGTCCACTACAGTCCACTACAGTCCACTACAGTCCACTACAGTCTACTACAGTCCACTACAGTCTACTACAGTCCACTACAGTCCACTACAGTCTACTACAGCCCACTACAGTCCACTACAGTCCACTACAGTCTACTACAGTCTACTACAGTCCACTACAGTCCACTACAGTCCACTACAGTCCACTACAGTCTACTACAGCCCACTACAGTCCACTACAGTCCACTACAGTCTACTACAGCCCACTACAGTCCACTACAGTCCACTACAGCCCACTACAGTCCACTACAGTCCACTACAGTCCACTACAGTCTACTACAGCCCACTACAGTCCACTACAGTCCACTACAGCCCACTACAGTCCACTACAGTCCACTACAGTCCACTACAGTCCACTACAGTCTACTACAGCCCACTACAGTCCACTACAGTCCACTACAGTCCACTACAGTCCACTACAGTCCACTACAGTCCACTACAGTCCACTACAGTCCACTACAGTCTACTACAGCCCACTACAGTCCACTACAGTCCACTACAGTCCACTACAGTCCACTACAGTCTACTACAGTCCACTACAGTCTACTACAGTCCACTACAGTCCACTACAGTCCACTACAGTCCACTACAGCCCACTACAGTCCACTACAGTCCACTACAGTCTACTACAGTCCACTACAGTCCACTACAGTCCACTACAGTCCACTACAGTCTACTACAGCCCACTACAGTCCACTACAGTCCACTACAGTCTACTACAGTCCACTACAGTCCACTACAGTCCACTACAGTCCACTACAGTCCACTACAGTCTACTACAGTCTACTACAGTCCACTACAGTCCACTACAGTCCACTACAGTCCACTACAGTCTACTACAGTCCACTACAGTCTACTACAGTCTACTACAGTCCACTACAGTCCACTACAGTCTACTACAGTCCACTACAGTCTACTACAGTCCACTACAGTCCACTACAGTCCACTACAGTCCACTACAGTCTACTACAGTCTACTACAGTCTACTACAGTCCACTACAGTCCACTACAGTCTACTACAGTCCACTACAGTCCACTACAGTCCACTACATTCCACTACAGTCCACTACATTCCACTACAGTCCACTACAGTCTACTACAGTCTACTACAGTCTACTACAGTCCACTACAGTCCACTACAGTCCACTACAGCCTACTACAGTCCACTACAGTCCACTACAGCCTACTACAGTCCGCTACAGTCCACTACAGTCCACTACAGTCCACTACAGTCCACTACAGTCCACTACAGTCCACTACAGTCTACTACAGTCCGCTACAGTCCACTACAGTCTACTACAGCCCACTACAGTCCACTACAGTCCACTACAGTCTACTACAGTCCACTACAGTCCACTACAGTCCACTACAGTCCACTACAGTCCACTACAGTCTACTACAGCCCACTACAGTCCACTACAGCCCACTACAGTCCACTACAGTCCACTACAGTCTACTACAGTCCACTACAGTCTACTACAGTCCACTACAGTCCACTACAGTCTACTACAGCCCACTACAGTCCACTACAGTCCACTACAGTCTACTACAGTCCACTACAGTCCACTACATCCACTACAGTCCACTACAGTCCACTACAGTCCACTACAGCCCACTACAGCCCACTACAGTCCACTACAGTCCACTACAGTCCACTACAGTCCACTATAGTCTACTACAGTCCACTACAGTCCACTACAGTCCACTACAGTCCACTACAGTCTACTACAGCCCACTACAGTCCACTACAGTCCACTACAGTCTACTACAGTCTACTACAGTCCACTACAGTCCACTACAGTCCACTACAGTCCACTACAGTCTACTACAGCCCACTACAGTCCACTACAGTCCACTACAGTCTACTACAGCCTACTACAGCCTACTACAGCCTACTACAGCCTACTACAGTCCACTACAGTCCACTACAGTCTACTACAGCCTACTACAGCCTACTACAGTCCACTACAGTCCACTACAGTCTACTACAGCCCACTACAGTCCACTACAGTCCACTACAGTCCACTACAGTCTACTACAGCCTACTACAGCCTACTACAGTCCACTACAGCCTACTACAGCCCACTACAGTCCACTAAAGTCCACTACAGCCCACTACAGCCCACTACAGTCCGAATAATCTCCTTGCATTAAAAAGAAAAAGGCCTATTTCTTATGTACACTGGAACTCATGTAGAGGTTTTCTTGTTTATTCTAATTATATTTTTTCATGTAAATAATTGTTTATCTCGTGCATGTTTGAAATAAATGAAGAAATGAATGAAATGTAGAGCTGGGTTGCAGCTGACGTCCTGCAAAAGTCCTCTGAGGGACAGGAAGTAAATCTCCCAAATTAAAAAAACAATGTAAATATTGACAGATTCAAAATGCTCTTGGTCAGTGGTGTGTACAGATGTGGTAACTGCTCGTATCAAGTGGAACTAATGGAGTCTCTATTTAACTAAAAGGTATTTCTCTAACAGGTGTCCGTTTTTAGGATAATACTTCAGTGTTAGTTTACTAATGCAGAGCTTCTCTCCAGAGTCCAAACTTTTATTAGGTCATATTTCTCACCTCAAATGTTGTTTAAAATTATATTTATGTAATTATTGTTCAGAACTTTCATCCTGGACCTGGTTCTGTTGATCCCAGAGGTACTCCCGCCACCTTAACAGCCACTTAATCCTCCTCATTGTTGAAAACATTGAACTCATTCAAACTGTACACGGCGTACGCTGCATTGAACAGTTGTACCAAGCCGCAAAAAGCTTGGTTTGAAACGTGTGTCTTTTGTCCAGCACAGCCCTGTCTAACGAATAAGACACATGCACTTCCTGTCCTACGGCCGTCTGCCACGCCCCCTTCGGACCACGTGGTTGCAACACAGTCCCAGTCCCAATACCCACTCTGCAGCCTACACTGTGCACTGTGCATTTGTTTGAAGTGCAGGCAAGGCTTTGAGGCAGGTTACAGCATAAAGGGTGAATTGGGACAGTTCAGACTGAGTGCGGGTGACGTCATCGACTCATCAAGAGATGGTCATTTTCAGACCTAAACTTTATAAACATTAAAAGGTAATTTGGTCTGACCCTGTGGGAAACAAAATGAGTTGTT